TTATACAATTCATATTAAAGTGTAAGCTCTATGTGCAGGTACTATATTTCTCTGAGTTATACAATTCATATTAGAGTGTAAGCTCTGGGTGCAGGGATCATGTTTCTTACTATTAGGGTGCAAGCTGTATGGGCAGGAATTGTGTTTCTCTGAATTATATTGTTCATATAAGAGTGTAAGCTCTGTTGGTAGGGACCATGTTTCTTTGTACTATATAATTCTTATTAGAGTGTAAGCTCTATGGGCAGGGATCATGTTTCTCTGTGTTGTACTCTTAATGTTAGAGAGCAAGCTCTGTGGGCAGGGATTTGGTTTCTCTGCAATGTACTGTTCATATTAGAGTGTAAGCTCTCTGGGCAGGGACCATGTTTCTCTGTATTGTACCCTTCATATTAGAGTGTAAGCTCTGTGGGACAGGATCATGTTTCTCTGTATTATACATTTCATATTAAAGTGTAAGCTCTATGGGCAGGGACTATGTGCCTCTGAATTATATTCTTCATATTAGAGTGTAAGCTCTGTGGGCAGGGACTATGTTTCTTGCAATTATATTGCTCATATTAGAGTGCAAATTCAGTTGGCAGTGATTATGTTTCAATGTATTTTACCCTTCATATTAGAGTGTAAGCTCTGTGGGCAGTGATCATGTTTCTCTGTATTGTACTCTTCATATTAGAGTGTAAGCTCTATGGGCAGGGACTGTGTTTCTCTGTATTGTACGCTTCATAATAGAGTGTAAGCAGGGCCGGCGCGTCCATAAGGCGGCACAGGTGGCCGCCTTAGGGCGCACCGGCCCGGGGGCGCAAATGTCCGGGTGGCCGGCAGGAGAGAAGCGCACAGCTCCCCTCTCCTGCCGGTCACTTCTTGTAGCGTGGCCGAGCGCCAACCTGCATTGCCGCGGACTGTGTGGAGGGGGCGGGGATATGAACGTCATATCCCTGCTCCCACTGAAGCACACAGCGCGGCTGGTGCCCAGCAGGGGCGGAGCTACGGGCCCCCTTCTATTCAGCATGGGAGGAAGTCCTCCCAAGAAGACTAGAGCGGGAGAAGGCAGAGAGGAGGGGGGCTGGGCAGGACCAGCTCCTCCAACTCCCAACTACCTTAGGCAGCACTTTGGATCCCAGGTAAGCCCCCCTTCTGAACCTGTTGGTCAGTGTGTCTGTGTGTATCTATGTCTGTCAGTGTGTGTGTGTGTGTATGTCTGTCAGTGTGTGTGTGTGTGTGTATGTCTGTCAGTGTGTGTGTGTGTGTGTATCTATGTCTGTCTGTCAGTGTGTGTGTGTGTGTATCTATGTCTGTCAGTGTGTGTGTGTGTATGTCTGTCAGTGTGTCTGTGTGTATCTATGTCTGTCAGTGTGTTTGTGTATATGTCTGTCAGTGTGTGTGTGTGTGTATCTATGTCTGTCAGTGTGTGTGTGTGTATGTCTGTCAGTGTGTCTGTGTGTATCTATGTCTGTCAGTGTGTGTGTGTATCTGTGTCTGTCAGTGTGTGTATCTGTGTCTGTCAGTGTGTGTGTGTGTGTGTATGTCTGTCAGCGTGTCTGTGTGTATGTCTGTCAGTGTGTGTGTGTGTGTATCTATGTCTGTCAGTGTGTGTGTATGTCTGTCAGTGTGTGTGTGTGTATCTATGTCTGTCAGTGTGTGTGTGTGTATGTCTGTCAGTGTGTGTGTGTATCTATCTCTGTCAGTGTGTGTGTGTATGTCTGTCAGTGTGTGTGTGTGTGTATCTATGTCTGTCAGTGTGTGTGTGTGCATCCATGTCTGTCAGTGTGTGTATGTATATGTCTCTGTCCATGTGTCTGTGTGTATCCAAATGTCTGTTAGTGTGTGTGTCTGTCTGTGTGTCTTTGTGTGTCTTCTTCCCTATCATTGTGTATGTGTGTCTGTATGTCACTGTGTGTTTATCTGTATGTCTGTCAGTGTTTGTGTGTACCTGTGTGTCTATCTGAATGTGTATCAGTTTGTGTATATGTATATCTGCATGTGTCAGTGTGTGTATCTTTGTGTATGTGTATCACAGTGTGATGCGTGTGTGGCAGTGTATGTGTATATGTGCATATATCTCAGCATTCAAACACAACACTACACACAAATAAACACCTACATGCAAACGTCAACACTACATACAAACACACCCCTGCATTCAAATGTCAACACTACATACAAACACACCTCTGTATCAGACACCAAAATTATATATAAACACACACCTGCGTTCAAAAACCAACACTACACATAAATGCATGCTTGCATTCAAATGCAAACACTACATACAAACACACCGCTACAATCATACAAACATACCCCATACAAACACATGCTTACAGTCAAACACACAAATACTGCTCCATGCTAAATACAATCCTGCAAGAATGGGGAATCGGTAGAGCCCCAGCTTTCAAAGCATTGTTGAAGTTGCACGACAGATGGGGATCTATCTTTTAGCCATCCTGTGTACATACACAGACCGTCATACAGAGACATACAGTATGTATGTCTCTGTATGACTGTGTAAATGTATTCAAAAGGAATAAACGCAGGCAACACTCCAATAGTACGGATGGTATATTTATTGATAGGTGAACCACCCCAAAGAAAGTGCGTCGTTTCGGCTCAGCAGAGCCTTATTGCATGAGCTGAAACATCACACTTTCTATGGGGTGGTTCACCTACCAATAAATATACCATCCTTACTATTGGAGTGTTGCCTGTGTTTATTCCCTTTGAAGACTTTACTGGTGGATCCAGCAATGTCTGCCTGACATGGAGCATCCACCTCTGTTGATGGCCGGAGCATTTACACGGTGTCAGTGTGCAGGGTTCTTTGTTTGTCTGTGTATGTATGTCTCTGTATGCCTATCTCTGTTTCTTTATGTCTGTGTATGTATTTCTGTGAATGCCTGTGTCTGTATGAATGTATGTCTGTGTTTGTACGACAATGTACCTGTATGTGTAGATTGTATGACTGTGTTTGTTTGTGTGCCTTTTATGACTGTGTGTCTGTATATTTTTGTGACTGTGTGCCTGAAAAATTATGTCTGTGTGCTTGTATGGTTGTGTGTCTGTATGTTTGTGTATTTGTGCATGTATGTATTTTAGCCTGTATCTATGTCTATGTGGGAGAAAAAGAGAGATAGATAGGGGCTGGCGGGGAAGTAAGAAATACATAAGAGGGGTTGTAGGAGACACACTAAAGGGGGGTGTAAGGCACAAAGGGGCCAAAGGGGTAAGACATTCAAGAGTGGATATGCAACACTAATGGGGGTAAGAAATTCAAAAGGGGGCTACGAGACACAGAGGTGAAGATGCATTGTTTATTTATTTTTTTTGGGGGGGGGCGTCAAAATGCATCTTCGCCTGTGTAGTCAAAAATCCTAGCACCGGCCCTGCATACACTACCACAAAATAATGTACAAATGACATAATTCACCAGGTCATATAATGGCATTGAAAACATGATGTTCTTACTGAAGTGACATCATGCAATGTATAGACAGATCATGATTACATATACACACACTCAACCTCACACAGAACACATACAATTAAGTGTAACAAACAAGCTAATTGCATAACTATGCAAAATATTTGGTTATCTAATCACATCAAAATACTCCACTCACTAAAATGAGTGTCAATAAATAAAATGTACAATTCTACTGCACAACACATGCAAATTTGGAGATTGATACTGTTAATATATACAAATTTACCAAAGGCTTTCACAGTTCAGGCCCATGATGGCTCTCCAATTATTATATAAAAGAATCATTATACTAATAAGTATAAGTATTGAAGGTGCCAAAATATGTGTTTTTCCTTTTCTTTACAGCCATAGTAGAAGCCATTATGAAATTCTATGCCACATGAAAGAACAGGCCTGGGCTTGTTCAAAGGAGAACCAGGCCAAAAGCCAAAAGTACAGATATGAAGGAGTGCGCTTTCCCCACATTATTGTATCAAACACAGAATTACACTGTATTGGTTTCCTAGGCAAAAGTGTGACTTTTTCACAATTCGCCCCTTGGTATTTGTGGGCCTACCCTAGGGTAAAGTGCAGCTGGCTGTCAACAGTCTTGTGAACATTAAAAAAAAAAAATAATAATAATAAACGGTTTCCAGCAAATTTCACCCATGCTCTCAAATCTGAAGTCCTGACTTGGACAGAACTTTAACAATATATTTAGCTTTTTGACGGTTTTCCCAGAGAGCACTGCAAAAGTAAAAATATAGAAAATAAGGGACAATGATAAGTGTGAACTTGGCATAAAAACATTAAAACTTATAAACTCTGTCCTGGCCAACTGCTCTATGCAACGTTACAAGTTCATAAATAAAATGATGTTATCCTTTAACCAGCACAAAGGCAGCGTGATTAAAAAAAAAAAAAAAAAACTACCACACGGATTCATTCTTTTCACTGCCACATAAAACCACTAGGTCATAAATTTAATGTATAATGGCTATTTGGAATAACTGGTAATACAGCTGTTTATATATTCTGTATTATCCTTTAGAGCATAAGAATAGTTGGGCCACTCAAATTAATGGAGTTACTAATATCTTATAAATTACAGGAGCTATGACCATGTGAAAATCTGATACACACAAACTCAAGGATATGAAGTTACTATAGATTTCAAAACATCATCCAAATTGAAAATCTGACATTCTACTTTAAATCGTTAAAAAAAATAAAAAACACAACTCATTTGAATTCTTAAAAGGTTCATAAATTTATTTATTTTTTTTTAATTAAATTCTGGTTATGAAAACTCCACTACATTTGTGTGTGTGTGTGTGTGTGTGTGTGTGTGTGTGTGTGTATATATACACACACACACACACACCAACACCAAAAAAAAAACGGCATTTACTTCAACATTTCTTTATCACTAGT